TACAGGGATTTTTACAAAATACAAAGACCAAAAACTAGATCTCGAACATTCAAATCAAATATTCTCAATTAATAATTTCGTCTAACACCAATTCGGGACAATCCTAACACTATAGCCACAGCCAAACAAATAGATACGCGCTCGATTTTGCCAATTTTAAAGCAATGCGTCTTAGCATGCATAATTGTAGAAATAAAGGATAGAAAGAAAGTAAAAGAAAGTGTTTTTGAAGTAACTAAAACAGGAGCCTGTTACATGAGCTTCTTGTTGATAGCAAATACAGAAATTAGTACAACGCTGAAATGCAAGCGTTTTCATATTTCAATTTTAAAAGTAACTACAACGGGAGCCCGTCTTCATTATTAAATGATGATTCCCTTAACAATAGCACGTTTAAACATCAAATATTCTTGACTCTTTGTCTTCTCTTTGTTCACAAGATCAAGGTAAAGTTACGCATAAATTAACTGAGCGTACACAAACGCAAGATCATTATCAGTCTTTTAAGTGAAGATCGTCAACTTAAATGCATGCATAAACAAACATTGTGCATAAAGACAAAGTTAATACTTAATAGTACAGTGAAGACAAATACTCTTCATTCAAAGTAAACTGAATATGAAGACAAAATCCTAAAGAAAGAGTTGAAGAGAACTAATCTTCACTCTTCAGTATAGAATGAACCTAACTTAAAAGAAAGAAACGAAGAGAACTAATCTCCGCTCTTTTGTAAGAGTAAAGCTAAATTGAAGATGCGAAGAGAACTAATCTCCACTCTTCAGTAAAAGTTAATCAAATTTAAAGATGTGAAGAGAACTAATCTCCACTCTTTAATGAAAATAAAAACACTAAAACTGCGAAAAGAATCTCTTTACAAGACAAAAACCAATCCCACCGCTGCCACCAATGAAGCTTCGAGCTTTGTTGTTTAAATAGCTCTGTGGGTTCTTCATAAAATAATATGGATTGGTCTTGTAATGTAAAAAAAGACAAGATTAACACTGAATTAATATACTCATAAAACTATACTTTATTCCAAGTAAAAGACTAAACATGTACAATTACACTCTTCAGTATAAAATAAAACTGTTCAAAGATAAAGAAAGAATGAAAATGAGATTAATAAGATGGAAATAAATGATGTGTGATGTTCCCCCCGATCTAACTCTCTACTGAATGAAGCCCAAAATTTCTCTTACATACCCCCAAGTTATAGGAAATGAAAGGCAATCCCTTACCCTACAAAACCTATAAGAAACCCATTGAAAGATGGCAGCACAATACGGTGAATCAACATGAAAAATGCTATATTATTATGATGTTATCGTCCGTGGATAATTAGTGTAATTACATAATGTGCTTTTTACTTTCTGTTTATTTTTTCAAATATTGGTCACGAAGATTCAACCAAATTATTTTAATAAATTCATAATTTCAAACATTTTTACAGGTTTTTACTATTTGAAAGTCTTAAACGAACAATTTAATCCTATCATCGCCAGGAGTAAAACATAAAACAATGACAAATATGCAAAATATATGTATATTTTAATGTTATAGAGGTATGGGAACTTTTAAATATTCATTGCGCATGTCTAATTGTCTATAAGAGGTGTATGCAATCAAATACCTTTCATTTCTTTTTGACGTTACTGCCGCAAATATCATCACATTTTCTGATTGTTGTATCTTTTTCGATATTACTTCTGGATAACAGTTTTGGTCAAAATCAGGACCATTTTTTCTCAAAGCTTCATCAATTCGACTTGGTCTTGTTGGTCGTTTTATAAACAACTGAGCAATATCTAACTAGGGGCGAAATAATTTTAGCCGTAGCCACAGTTAGTCAAGGAAGAGCAATGAGTCCTCGTTTATTGATAGCTGACGACCCCTGACGATGACAGTCTATTTCTCAAAACATATTAAGACCCTTTTTTCAAAAAGAAACTACCATAATTTTAGCATATGTCATTGATACCATGTACATCACCGGTAAATCAAACTGTTGATGTAGTGATTACGCAATTTCTCTTGTTGTTTAAGAAAAATAACTTCAAATTAATAGCTGAGAAACTTAAAACATACATTCAAAATTTATTTTAAATGGTTTTGAATAGCATCATGTACCCCAAATTTTTAAAATGGGGATTTATAATAGAAAAACAAAAAAAAACTGGACTCAACTGGTTAACAACTCCTTTATTATATTATATCCTCCTAAGCAGGTATCCAGAATCCGTACCTCCTTCTTCCCCCTGCTATAACCAATTTGGAAGCGCCCGCCCGATTAAACTGAATCACGTGAGCTTATTATGCGCAGTGACTTTTACATGATTTCTGTCGCAGTGTTGCGACAGCCAATCAGATTGCGAGTTCTTAATCGGGGAAATGCTAACTGCTTATCGCAGGGGGTAAAAAGAAAGAATATATTCTGGATTTTGAAGCCGTGTGATCGGAGGATCCCATGATTAGGCGTCCTAAGAATTTCATACCATGGACTAATTAGTTTTCCTATTTTGATTTAATTACTGATATTGTTTATTGTTATCAATTGTGTGTGTGACACTAAAATAAAAATATATGCTGTAGATTAACTGAATTTTAGGATTGTGAGTCAATATTGCCAAGCTCGGATTGTAAGCAAGAAGGAACTAACTAATCACATGGGAAGCTGGTCGGGAACAAGTTCATAACAGAATATCTGGTATTGTTACAGATACTTTACAAAGGACATAACAAAGTGAAAATGGTAGCAGAAGAATAATGACCGTCTCCTAATATCGCCAGCCTGGGATGGCTCCGTGTTCAGTGAGTTAAACTGTCGATGTGCCATTCGAAATTCAATATCAGAGGTATCCATGAATAGACGTAAGTATACGGTCAAGTGACGTGTCAATGGTGATCCTTGAAATCAGTCGGTTCAGGATGGTATTCAATTTAATTTTAAGTACAACGCCAGTTTTTCTACTCGACATCTCTTTGAAAAGTCCACTATTAAAGATTTGCAAGTAAGCGTATTCAATTAATAGCAGTTTGTTATTTATTTTAAAAATAATGTATTAATAGGTAAATTCTTTAAGATATACTTATACATTAATCGCCAGCCCCACCAAAGATTTCATAAGAATAACTTTTTTAACGCCTTGTCTCCAAGATAAATATTTTAAATGAATTTGTTTTCATACCTCAAAAAGACCTCAAAAACTGAGCTTGAATTAGAAATGTGTCTTCTAAAATCCTCGCCTGGACCTGATGGGATTCTACCATCACATATTAAGTTTGCAAGGCAGTTTTTAATTGATCCACTATTGTATATATTTAACTTATCTTTTAAATCTGGTATTTTCCCAGATGCCCTCAAATTGACCAAAGTAACACCTATATTCAAAAAAAGGTGTCACTACAAATCCTTTTAACTATAGACCAATTTCAGTTTTATCGGTATTTTTTAAATTGTTAGAAAAGCTCATACACGCCAAACTCACTGGTTTTTAGAACGTTTTGAGATTATTTTCACTTATCAATTTGGATTTCAGAAATTCAATTCTACCTAGTACATAGCCATTTTATATTTCATTGAACAAGTTCGAAAATCAACTGATTTGGGAAAAACAAGCATTGGCATAACATTAGATAGTGTATATTATATAAGAATTATGAAATAAATAAATTGAATTGATGAAGAAAAAAATTGAATCTGAGGCTTGAATCCCTGCCTAAAATCCTATTATTTGTCATAGATTAAGTGTTGGGATGAATGAGAAATCATCTTATTCGGCCAACACTATGCTTGTTCTAATCTGTAAGGTAAATAGCAGCAAAGTAGTCAACCTCATTTGAAGACAATTAAGGGCGTTAAAAGAGTTGAAATAGAAAATCTCCAATGAGATTCTAGATAAAACAAACAAATCGCCAGATTAGCACACGTTGAATCCCGAGCACCCATTCTGATGTTTGTTTGTTTGTTTGTTCGTTTGTTTGTTTTTCAGATAGAAAGAAGGTCGAGTGATACCAGTGTGATTGAAAATCTTGTAAACTTGTAAACGGGTATGTACGTTACTCCCTAAAGATTAATATTTAATTGGACAATATCGTTTGTTTAGCTAAAAGAATGTTATCGTCTTACTATAAAAGCACGATGGTCTGTCCTTCATTCTGTCTCTCTGGGCATCTCCTCCTAGACAGTTTGACCTTGGGCCCTCATACATGGTGAACGTACTAAGTGGGCCAGTGGGCATTCTACAGTATTTGACAACTTTATGGGTTAAGGTCATTAGTTGACCTGAGAAAGGTCACTTCTTACGCAAAGGTCAAGATTTGGGTATTTGGTGATTAAAGGTACTTGGGGCTGCTATGACCCATGGCGACCAATGATTATGTGACCTGAGGCCAAGGTCTATGTTTTTATGGGTCAAGGTAATCTCAAGGCCAAAGGTCCATATCTGAGTACTAGCGTTTTAGGGATCTTTGGGGCTGAAGTGACCCTTGGCAACCCTTGTTTTGTTGACTTGAGGTCAAGGTCAACCTTAAATTGGACAAGGTCATCTCAAGGTCAAAGGTCAAAATTATAACATTTGGCATTTTATGGCAATTGAAGGATAATCTGACCCTTGGCAACTCATGATTAGGGTGACATGAGGTCAAATCAATCTTTATGGGCCAAGGTCGTCTCAAGGCCTTCGAAAAGTTAACCTCAATTCAAGAATCAGTCAACATCAACCAATTAATAAACATGATTTAGCATTTAATGGGGTTGCTGCCATATTTGGACTGCTGTGACCCTTGGTGACCTACTCAAACGGGTAGATTGCTAGATCCATCTCCAGTACTGTAGAGGTCATGAACTTGCAAGTCACATACTTATCTCCCTGGTTATTAAATGATTTACTGAACAATGTCGTTACCATCCTGTTCATCACATATAATATATTGGAACCTTGAAAACTGCGTCATTTTTCATTAATAAACGAACTATAAAGCTCTTGTTTGCTCAACTTTAAGCTTTTTATTATAAGAAATACTTCGACACTTTAAGCTATCTCCCAATATTGCTTCATTCCATTGTATTTCCATTGTAGTTTCAATAATGCATCTCCAGTAATGTAGAGCTCATTTGAGTCAGGCCTAAAGTGTATATTGGTCAAACGCGTAGTTGGCAACTTTAATTGACAAGTCGGATTCCCTCCATTTATGTCGAAGACGAACAGAATACTAGAGTCAGTGTCTGTCACTATAAGGTTCCCCTTCTCATCATAATCAATACCATCAATATTACTTTTGGCTTTAAGTAGAAATGAACATTGAACTGGTAAACTAACACCTTCACAACTAGTTTTATAAGATAATCAGTAATTTCTATAGCATGTCCTCTCGATGTACATTAAATTATTGATCGGATCAGATCCCTTTTAGCAAGTACATTTTTCTCATATAAATGATTTTGCTTTCAAGATATCAGACTTACCAGGAAGGTTTCCCCAAACTTGCTTGTTCTCAATTTGACAAGGGCCGACTATATCAAAGCTCCATAAGGGGGCAGTTATATTGAATGCCGACCCGACAATTAGTTTCTTCGGAGTCCCATTGCTATCATGTTGCACAGCTATACCATTAGGAAATAGGATTCCCTTGGCAACTTTAATAATCTCGTTAGTTGTCATGTTATAGCAGTACACACTTCCAAATGGATCCTGGAAATGATGTTCATGAAAATAGAAATAAATGAAATAATTATCACAATGGCATCTTAACATATCAACTATGCGCACCAAGGCTCGCGGCTCACTGATTATCGTACATTCAAGATCCCATACCCAAAAAGTGCCTTTCTAGTTTCAAGGATCTAGCAAATGGATGGACAGGTGGCAGGACAGACAAAGATATGAGCACATATGCCAACATGTGAAAGACCAACACGCATTACAACAACTGTACAGTGAAATATAAGAATGAATCGTAGCAGTCTAGCCAGTTGAGAACTAGGTGGCTTTAAACAACTTTCCCAAAATATTGAAAAATTTCGTTATGAGATTGTAAAATGTATAAATAATGATTCTAAAAAAAAACAAAAATTGCGGGGCTGGACAGGAATGAACACAGCGGGATGTCCTGAAGCTCAGTGACAGAAGGATACTGTATACACAGAAATATCCATCTCGCTCCCTAGATACGTTATATTGCAACACGTTTTGTACCTAAAACTTCAGTAGGTCCACGGAATATTCTAAATTAGTAATTGCATGCCACCTCAGGGGACACTATCAGTCAAATATGTATTGCCATAAATATTACCTTCCTTGATTCTGTTAAGTTATTTGGGGCAATGGGGCCAAACGGTGCAGTGATCCATAGATTACCATGGTAGTCAAATATAAGGTCATTACATCCTTGCATGGTTTCATTCTGATTGTCTTTAGTTGCTACCTAAATTTAGTGTAAATAAAAAAAGGTTATGGAAGTGTATATAAAAAAGACCAAGTTTGTTTTTCAAATAGAGCTGACATGCTTTTTGAAAATTAGTGTTTATGCGGAAAGTGAGGCGCATATGGTTATAAACAATTCTTTAAACCAACATCATAATCTATTTTGTTTGTGCTTGAAAATTATAAATTTGTTGAAAAATAAAATAAATTAATTTAAAGAAATATACTAAATATATTTTAACAAGATAAAAAGTATTTTGCTACGCAGCATTGCAAACAAAACAATTGTATTTTAAAAACCTATGTAATCTCCCCCCCAAAGTAATCAACATAGTTGAAAGTATTATATTCCAAAATATCTCATGCTGCAGCTCCACTATCTTATTTTCTGAGATACACCATGATATATAAGGGAAGGGTAAATCATTAATTGTGCTAAATAAATCTCCGTTACTTCTGATATTATTTGTACTAATCAATGTAACATGCATGTTGGATTTCCTAAAAACCTTACATTACCTAAGAACAAGATAGAAACGTTTTGATATACGATATACTGTTTTACAAATATGTGAGAATGGTGTATATTACAGTCTCTATAATTCATTTACCATTCTTCGATGTCACATAACAAGTTATCGTTTTTAAACGAGACTCTCTAGTGGGGAACATAAATTAATAACAATTTTAAAAAGTTTTCATTACAATTTCTCAATTATAACTTTCATGGAGTGTAATGATCAGTGTCTATTTATAAAATTGTGTATGGCTGTAACGATGATTATAAGTAAACTTTTATGATACCTTTAACTATTTCAAAAGTAAGATAGATGATTTGTTGCTACTCTTTGTGTCTGTGAGTCCATCAAAAAATATCCTCCAAACTAACACACGAATTAGGTTCATTATATCTAGTTTATACAATAAAAAAACATTCTGTAATGGAAATTATATCTAAAACGTCAAAGAAATGTACAAAACTGACTTTCTTAAAAATAAACGCTTGTGAAGGAACAGCTAAAATGTGTTTGCATTACAAAATTGCAACAACAACTCATAAATCTTATTTTTGAAGAAGTATAGGTATAACCGAGATTATATGGTACCATGATAGGAATGCATTACGCCTTTCTTTACAGGGCAGAATGCAAATGTTTCAATTGTGTATTACAAAAAGTCAAACAGACTGGTGTTTTCTCCAGATTAATCCTACAAACGAGTAATAACTTATTCATTTGTCTGAAAAATAAAAAATGAAATTTTTTGTTTTGTTTTACATCGGTTTAAATACTGTCACATATATATTTTATCAATAAGACAGGACAGTTATCATGGTAATAAGCAAAATACCACTGTAACGAAAGTTATGCATTTTACTTCAAAAACAGCACATTTGATTTCAGTTGCCAATAGCCATGGGTTTACTAAAATCCTCATGCACCATTGTAATTTGTAACATATCTTGTTGTTTCCTCATTTGTACAAACAGCAAAACAATGTACAAGTACCTTTTTCAAATTAGTTATTACATCTCATAGATAGGAGGTGTCTCAATAACAACGGTTTTTGTAATTCGGCGACAATGACGTTCATTGTTAAAGTTCATTAACTGTTTTCAAACATCAACAATATATACAGGTTACTGAAAGACTTGGTATGGTAGGTAAAAAACAAACCATGAAATGACAATGAGACATAGCAATGAAATATAATTTCAACGCCATATTTTTTTGCACCTTTGATCGGCGACAGTATCGAAAATGAGAAAATACGACTTTGAAAGCCTCTGGCTACATGGAGCTGAAGGAAATCGTTTCAATTTTAGGTGTTCTTTTTAAAGTAACCTCATGTCTACAATATCCCTTCAAGCATTCCTTAGTTCAATGCATATATTTTATGTGACATGTTGGCGACAGCGTTTGGACCTGAAATTTGAGAATGTGCTCTCCAGGTTACAATCCATGTATATATATATTAGAACTATGTTAAAAACTTTCTTATTTCTTCCTTACTTGTTGGAAAGAGCCATCTTGCTTCACTTTCAATAAACCAAGCCTTGCATCAGCAACCCAGATATTGTTCTCCGTGTCACATTGTAATCCTGCTGGCATCCCATTAAACCCATTTACTGATGGGGCAACAAACGTGCTAGCCTGTGAAAATAGTAAATCTTAAATCAATGCGTTCCCTTAAATTCAAAGGTTTTTTACATGTATTTTCTGAATTAATTTCCCCTTGATTTTTTGGGGAAACATTTATAATTTATAACTTGGTCCATCATTTTGCCCAGCGACCATCTAGCACCGAAATATTAATCAAATAAGTGAAATTGAACAAATGGGTGGGGGGTAGAGGAGGATAGAGGGAAAATTGTATGTAGAATTTGGAAAGGGGGCGGGGTAATCACTATGATTCTAATTTTTGAGTGATTTTCTCCTTCATGAAGAGAAAGCCATTTAATTTGCGAATATTTTGTGATTAACTGTATTTCACCTTTAAAAATTCACAGGACAGTCAATAGTGTCTCGATTTTCATTAAGCCATTAAGGTAAAAAGTGATATGAAGTTATAAAGAAATTATTTACCTGCTTTTTCTCCAAGTCAACTCTGCTGATCTCACCCGCCAATGGTAAAACAATGTAAAAGTGCCCATCCTTTGTGAAAACTGGACCTTCCCGAAGCATTTTGTCTTTCAGTATTTTGATGAAGCCGGCTTAAAAGGATTTTTCAACTTTAATTAAATTAGAGAGTAAAAACTTTAATTCCACATTCTGTTGCCACTTAGGATATTTATTTCAAGTTCAGCTGTCAGTTACTACAACTACTTATGTTGTATGGTGCCTTTTAAGTGTACATCTAAGTTAACCCATCAATTTGTGAACTAGCGAATCAGTCACCGAGCTACATAGCAGGTTTTATTCATATTTGAATGAGTTTGACATCAGATTGCAATCAATCCGGTAGCTGCTAGCCGAAAATTGCATGTGCGAATACATGCTTAAACTGTCCATGATCATGTTAGAGATAAGATATTGTGTAACTATTATTGGTTTACTTTTGTTAGAAGCAGTTTCACAAGTTTTCCCAACTCTACATTGTTGGATACATCCACGAAGGTCATTTGCAGCATTTGAACCATTTATAAAGACTGAGCAGTTCTTCCAACAAGGCAAAGCAATGGTATCACCCTACAGGCCAACATATTTGTTAAAGTTGTTTTAATTGAACTATATATCAAAACAATTGTTATATCTATAGAAAGCAGTGGTCATTACAATAGTTTATGGTTTACTACATCCAAATGTTTGTAAAAGGGAATATCAAGGTCATAATCGACTTTAAAACGTTTATTTATTTTATTTGTTTGAGTTATGATTTGATTAATAATTCATACCACAGCACTGACTGTCAGAATGAAGAAAATATCACAAGTAGTGAGCAATTTATTTGCAAGGGAGAATCAATAAAATATAGTAAGCACTCAATTTATTCGGAAGGATCTATATACATTAACACAGGCTGGTATCGAAATATTTGTCCGCTGTGACGGAGCATGCTATTTTTCATAAAAACACTAAGAATACTTCACGATTTATTTTTAACTCATATGTTTCGTTATACCATACAAAATTACTTACTCCATGCAATGGATATATCATTTGCGGGTAACTTTCACTTCTGTTTGAAGTCCAATTACGCTGGGAAGAAAAGCTATTGAAAATGGCGCCGGAGTATCATACTTCAAAATGTACCATTTCTTGTTTAACTTTCTAATGGCACGATATAGTGACACGATAATATTTACACATGGTTTCAGCATAACTATGAAGGTATAAATGAGATGTTGATGTATTTGGTCTTTTAAATTATTTTATAAAAAATAATGTTTAATTTTTTTGTCCGCTGTGACGGAGCAGTTGCAAATGTGAACTGTGAAAATGCTCCGTCACAGCGGACAAAAAATATTAATATTATTTTTTATAAAAGAATTAAAAAGACCCAATGCATTAATACCTCATTAATACATTCAGAGTTATGGTGAAAACATATCTTTTAATATTATCGTGTCACTATATCATGCCATTAAAAAGTTAAAAAAGAAATGGTACATTTTAGAGTTTGATACTCTGGCGCCATTTTCAATAGATTTTACTCCTAGCGTTATTGGACTTCAAACAGAAGTGAAAGTTACATGCAAATGATATATCCATTGCATGGAGTAAGTAATTATCTTTGATATAACGAAACATATGAGTTAAAAAATAAATCGTGAAGCATTCTTAGTGTTTTTATGAAAAATAGCATGCTCCGTCACAGCAGACAAATCTTTCGATACCAGCCTGTGATTAAACATTGTCATTACATTGTAGAGAAGGCGTAATGGCCTGGTGCCTGTTACTTTGATTGCACAAATGTAACCAAACCGTGAAAGTAAATAAATCTCTTTCTGTAAACCATTTTAAGGTCCGAAGGACCGTGGTTCCTAGGGTAGGTGTTCCTAGTCGGACCATAATTTAAGCTTGTTGTTGGACCACAATCCCTAGGGAAAATAGTCCTAAAATATCATATAGAGGGTAGGACCATTTACTAGAGTAGGACCATAATTTCTTTCACACCAGTAAAAGAGTAGGTGGTCCCTTTAAGCGGGTGATTAAGTTTATAGACACATCGATTTGGTTGGTCAGCATCGTTTGCAGTGTAGCTCAGTTGGTAAGGCGTTGGACTTGTTAGCTTATGTATATGTTATTGTATGTACTTGCTATTATGATAGTATTTCCATTGTGTATCTTTCATTCCGCCAGGTACAAAGTTCGAATCCTATTCCAGTACATCTAAAATAATTGCTAAATTTGCCTTTTCATTTCTTGCTCGATTTTTTTATTAATTCTTTCATTTAAGTGTCAAAGTCAAAGTTGTATTCTGGTCGTGTGTTTTCACATTATTTGTTATGGATTAAGTAACCTGCTCAATAAATCTTTTTGGGGAATTACTATGCTAACTAGTTGTATGCTACATTTTTAATAGATTTCATGCTGTTCATCGCACAAAAAACCCACACAGCTCATGGTCATCGCACAAAAACATCACACAGCTCATGGTCATCGCACAAAAACACCACACAACTTGTGGCAATGACATGTATACGCATAACAGAATAAAATAGTTGACAAGATATACATCTTAAATCGTTTTCTATTCAATAGATATTAAATAATATAACCCGTTTCCAAAGTGAACATTATTCCCTTGAAAAAAGCCATAGGACCAATTTCCCCAGGAATTTAGGTCCAGGACCAATATCCCTAGAGATAATGGTCCAGGACCAATAACCCTAGGAATTTTGGTCCGATTAGGACCACCTACTCTAGCAGGTGGGACTGTATTCCCCAGGAGATTTACAAGGGATAATGGTCCGTAGGACCATATTTAGGTAGGACCAGAAATACTTTCACACCGGTGTAAATAATTCAATGTTGCGCTTGATAAAGCATTTTCTAAAATCGCTTTGTCCCAGTGTGATTGCGAAAAAATTGGGATAAGTTGATTTTAGAATCTGGTTAATCCCAGCACCCTATACATTGCTGTCGATAAGTGGGTTTGAGAAATCTATTTATCCCGTTCCCGTCTTTGAGATTTGCTGGGAATGGGTTATTAATCAGATCGAGGAGTTAAGTGTCTCAAATCTTTTTAATTTTGGTAATTTTAGTTTCTGATAATGTTCCTTGAGCACACATACATCGACGGCTATTTGGAATTATTAATGTAGTACGTCATGGTTTTTGATATTTCAGGTGTATCCTTTTGCATACTCCTTTTCAATGATATGTCATTTATGCACATCTGGCCATGTTTGGCAGAATAAACACTCATTTTGCACAATGTGCCAACGTCGGCTAGAAACTAATTTTATACATTTTCAGGCTATTTGACAAGATCTCACTGGTATAGGTACTTCCTTATTTTATTGTCGCAGTTGTGTGTAATTATATGAACAATGTGATAACATACATGGATACTTCAATACACAATCAATCTTGAAACGCAAATAAATTTATGAAAACATGACGCCATTGTAAACTCCTGTATGAAAACAAATATGCATTCACCCATTTTCCAGATGCGACCTCACAAAAAGATTAAAATAAACATACTGTTGCAATTCTGCATATCTTGAAACATTTCCGCAGACCTAGAGATCTGCATCTCGCTTTACATGGTCTATATTTTGATGTTAATCCTGAAAATAAAACATAGAGAGCCATCTTACCATGATATATTTTATGAGAAATTTCGTGCATATATATACAGGTTGTCCCAAAATGAATCGCACCGAAACAAATATAAAATAACTCTGATGATGAATCAATATTTTTGAATTAAGTTATCTGACACTGTGTTTGATCAAAGGAACATTTTTGAAATTTAGTTATCTGACTGACAATTATCTATCATAAATGTCTTAAAATGAATAAACACAAGGACCACATGTGTCTCGAACTCGCAACCTCGTAGTTACGGCACCCAATCGCCTAGCTCGAACGAGCCGGTGTAAAAGGGTAGGAGGTCCTATCAAATTATGGTCCTACTCTCCATTAATTTATATGGTGACCTAAATACAACTCTTTCCCTCATTATCTTATACATAATCAGGGCCAGTAAGGGCCGTTAAGAAAGGGGACCATAATCCCTGGGGGACCATCCATTTTTCACACCAGCGCTCAAGCCCTCTCGGCCAACTTGACAACCCCAAAAAAAGGTTGTTTTGTCAGTTGATCTGACTAGAGGCAGCTGGTGTTAACGCTCGAACACACCAGAGGAAGCACAACTGACATTTCACTCCGACGAAGGCCATTTAGAGCAAGTCGTCTAAAAATTCACTCAATAAGTCTAAGAATTTTAAATGTTTAGCTTTAGAGCAAACCATCACCCATTCGAGGTTATGCGGAGCACATCATGTCATTATTGGAAAATGAATTTTCTTAATTTTATTATTATCTTACTTTATTTTATTTTTTTCAATGCAAGAAAAGGAGTAATTTTCGTTTATTTTGGGTATCACATTAAATATGTTTTACTGCGTGTAAACGATTTGTCAAAACCTTATCTCCACCGCTCTGCACTAGATAAATTGCTAATACATACTTAATCAAAAACTACTGCAGGAAGTGCCCTAAGTAGAATCTTTCAAGTAACAGCCATATTGAAAAGAAGATAAGCTAAGCAACATTCAATCACTTTGGATATTCCTAAAGCTACGAAAAGACATGGTAGATACCATGAATGATGCGGGGAATGATGCCCCTCACAAAATATATTTTTCCTCAAAATAATAGCCATTATTGTTTTTTTAAATGTCGGTTCCTCGATTTTCCCTATATCTTAAGGCCCAAATGCGTCAATATATGATGAGAAGTAATGATGCAACTTACCAAACCCCAAAAGTGTCATGGCAACGAAGACCCAACCGGTTTTCATCCTGTAAATGTCCAATTATCAGGTGTTAAGTGAAAACATGCGATTTCTCTTCCTGTAATAAACTAGAAATAATGTACATAATTCAAATACAATAAATAAATACATAATTTGTTATCATGGCCTTCATTTGAACAGCAAATGAGTTACGAGTGTATGTTTTCAAAGCTAGTTGCATTAATCACGCCTGGTGATGGGGAAAATGGGACGGAAAACAAACGGTACCGTACGGTAATGTTACAGATTAGCTGTGTAGCCCTGCCTAAGTCGATGTCTTAATTTTTTTATTTGAATATTAATTGAAAATCAGGAAAAGAAAAGATAACAACGGCGTGGCTAAGGCTACAGTTGAATTTCAAAACCTGTCTTAGTGCTTAAAATCAAAACAATAGATTTACTTACTTTCATATTGGAACTCGCGTACATGTGTAAAATACTGACGTGTCGCAAAAAGGTGGCGCATTTGTTTTTTAAGGGTATCGCGTGAATTAACTTTGATTCCCCGGATTATAAGATAATATTCTAATTAAAGTTATATATCATTTTAAAGCTGTTTCGATGAAGATTTTAGATCAACTACACTCCGTTCACATTTTTTGCGCGTTCGTTTTTAAAAAAGAGTTTTTTACCAAAACATTTGGCAAATATCCCATGTTGACACGTTACATTTTGAATTATTTTTCGTCTTTAAACGCTCATAACTCAAACAATATATGACTATTATACTTATTTTTCGTCTTGATAAAGGTAGATGGAAGTTTTATTTCAAAGGATGAATTTTAGTAAGCGTCCCATATTGTGACGTCATAGAGTCTGAAAAATAGAATCTGTTGACAGCGACCTTTTTTGCTCATTTTTTGGTACCTTCAACTTTTCAGGTGTACATAAAACAAAAAATACGAGATCAATTTTTAATAAATCATACATGATTATTTTGCTCCTAAACTCTAGTTTATCAATAAAGAGTTGATTTTTTTCACAAAAGTATGTGTTTTCTGTTGTATGTGGAAAAGTGGAGGACGAAAGGTTTTCAAAATTCATTAAAATAGGGCTAATTTACGCCATTCGCCTATTTTCAAGCACAGCAACACGTATATTTATTTCACCTAAAATATCAATTGATTCGTGTTTTATGATGCTCCTAACCCATTGTTAATACATATACAATATCAGATTTATTCGCCTTAAATATTTTGAGATATAGAGGCAAATGTGGAGGACGAAAGGATTTCCATAAGTGCTCATTTTTCTCAAAAACGTCACATTCTATCATGTTAAAAGCGAGAATCCTCTGGATTACGCCACAAAATGTGTAACAATGCGTGCGCGAGCTTTCTGCGACACGTCACTATTTACTGTAGTAGCTGAACCTGAATTCGTGCAAATATGGAATTTGATTTGATAATTTATTTATTTATTTAGATGGTGCTCAAAGTGGAATTTATTTTTTTGAATGGGCGCTACCTATGTAATTAAGAGATGTACATGTACGGTTGTTATAAAACCATAGCAAGGGTAACGGTTAAAAATACAGGGTGGGCCAAAAAACCACCACTTAGCCAATACAACTCCCTATAGAAACATTACCAATTATGTGAAATTGGGGTCAAAAAACACCTTCTCAATTTTCATAGATTTTACATGCAATAGCCTATTTCTACCAAATTTTACTGTTCGGTTAAAATTGCAGAATTGTCATGAGTCTTTTATAATTGGATATTATATATTGTTTTCATTCAGTTTTTGAACCACACATGCTCAATATACATGTGAAGCACCCCAGGGGCAGTGCGCTCTTAAATTACTGATAGATGTTGGTAGCGTAGCAAATAAAATAGCACAACCTACTCCTGGGGGTGCCACGGGTAATCCCCAGATGGCGCTCCCTCTCTGAAGCCGTCATGGAAAAAAAAATGGGAAAAAGCGAACAGAATATTTAATTTTAATTACAAATAAGATCATAACTTTTATCAACTCAAAGAACATTATTTTGCTTGATAAGAATCAAATAAATTCCAAGAATTAATATGAATTGAAATACATAATTACAGATAATTACAGATAGCACTAATCAAATTACCCTCAAAATAAGGCTGCCAGATAAATGCAATGTCATGTTGCGACTTCTTAGCCGCTCTCGACCGCTCCTGGGGGAGAACTGGCAGCGCTGCTAAGTTGGATGATCGCTCCCAGTGCAGCTACGTTCCCAACGCTTGGCCGAGCAGGAGGGGGTAGCGCAGAAAGACAGCAATACACCAATGTCAGCCATGACTTGCAGAATAAATTCAACTAATTTCAATTACATTGATTATTCTATAAAGGATATGCGAATGCTCAGGCTAGGATGTTGCAGGTTATGAATTTGAAATAAACTGATGAGTTTTACATTTTAGAAATTGTTTCTGCTTTTAACATGAAATTTAGCATCGAATTACGTGAATTAGAATGAAATGAAGGATGATTAGCTTACCAAAACAATGATTTATCCAAATAATATCCTAATTATATCCAATTAATGTGATTTAATCCATGAAATGATGACAAAACGCAAGAATCTAGGACTACATGTTGTGCCTGCAAAATCCCAGCAGAAGAGACAGTTGGTTTGAATTGAGCATGAAACTAAAACTTTACTGGCATGAATCTATTAGCTAAAAATTATTACGTGAAAAAACAAACTGAGAAATTCTATGGGGCTGCTACTGATAGGTGTGAACTGTTAAAATATACAGGGCTTGACAATTAATGTACAAAATACAAGATAGCTATAGTTAATATCTGAGACAGGTCCAATTAATTGATATTATTCCATAATAACATGTTTTCCCTGGGAAAATAACAGGGTTAAAAGTGTTATTTGAAAAATCCCGTATCAGATCCCGTATCAGCCAAAATCCCGTATCAGATCCCGTATTGGATCCCGTATCAGCAAAAATCCCGTATCAGATCCCGTATCAGAAATATTCCCGGTAATTTCTCTCGAGTTTTACGCTTTTCGTCTAGCACATCTCTACAGGAAGTAAAAAAATCGTTTGGAAAATTGAAATTATTATCATCTAGTTTACGTCTATTACTGTGACAAAGGTCTATTACTGTGACAAATATGTCTAGGTATGCAACAGAGGATGTTGATGACTTCATTAAAGGTCAAGAAAATATCAATACTTCGAAGAAAACTAAAAGTGACATAAAAATCCTAGTAGATTTTTTACGGAGTGAGAGGAATGAACTCAGACCGATCGAGGAGATAGATCCCCAATTTTATGTCACAATCATTGGATGATGACATACAAAAATTGAAAAAAAAATATTATGAAATAAATAGGTTATTGATGGTCGTGATGGAATATGGATTTATTCCTTGAGAAAATATGATATTGGCCTCAGAAAATATCATATTGACACTCGGGCTATCGCCCTCGGTCAATATGATATTTTCCTTGGCCAATATCATATTTTCCCTCGGAATAAAATCCATATTCCATCCCTCCCATTAAATAACCTCTATATATTTAAAAATATTCCTTAATAAAATGAAATTATTACAAAGTGATTACAAATCTAATCTTTAATTGAAATAAAAGTAACGGCACAAAAATATTATATATTGGTGGGTCGTTACATACCTCCCCTCTTTGAAAAGGCATGGCCTAACCTCACAAAACTATGAAACATAACAATAAGTCATTGAATACCACTCTAAATATACATCAAATGTTCATAAAAATGATTTAAAAGTAATACATTGTTTATTTCAAAATAATCCTGGCATTTGCCCTGCTGCTCCACCATGTGATGGATGAACGTAATCAATAGGAGCGCTGGCTCTTCTTAGCGCATCCAGGCAGCTGCTATCAATTTAATGATGTAACATTTGCATATATTCTGGTATCATCATATAATAAGTCACTGGATACTTCACATATAGTATCACTGGATTAAATAATAGAGAAAATCCCCATCCGGACTGTAGGTTGTTTCCATAAATAATCACTGGATCGTCCATATGGTATACCACTAGACTGTCATATATTTCTCTGGATCGGTTATTCACTATGAAGTTCATATATAGTTGGTCCTAGAGTGTTCATGATGTAGACTTATGCGTGACAGTGGGGCAGACACCTGGAAATACTAAACATAGAGTGGTAGACAAGACGTTTAAAACTTATCTTAAATACAGTCACATTTGTAACAAAGTGAGTGCTAGCTTAAAATTACAATGATAGATACTAGTAGTATTAAATATCTAAATCACCATCTACCATAATGAATGATAAAGTTTGGCGAGCTATTCTCAGCCTGGTTAGAAAATACCATATATCAGGTCTTTAAAATATTTTATACAAAAATTAGAGAATAACTAAATAGCATAAAATAAAAAGTACACGTGTGCTATCAATCACAAGCAGCAAACATCCTTGTAGACATCATAACTGCCGCTCTGTGAAAGTTAGCTGACAGGCAAATGTAAGCTTCACAAATCAGAGCGCATTGCTGCATATCCTGTCATCAGGGTAAAACATTGGCTGATCCAGATTATCTGTGGAAAGGTCTTTCCTGCACACATCACAGTGCTTGATCAGCCCAATGCTTTACAAGGTGCTCCAGGTCCACTCGTCTCAAACTAAAGACCATTGCAATTGTCCCCTGTTCAAATCCACCCGCACCAATGGAGGGGTCTACCTCTAGCCCTAATACAGCAAGCCTGGTGCCCTCGTGCGGTCTGGCAAGACTAGATGGGGAAACCAACCCAAGTTACTTAAAGGCTCATTAGCAATGTAGGCTACGTGATTAAAAATTTAGGTTTGAAGTATATGTCTTCATTTAATTCATTTACAAAGCATCCTGAAGCCAATAAATGGGGTCCACTCTTACCTCTAGCTCGCCTTTATCTGCCCATATGCCTTCACCACACGAACGTAACAGACATGTCCTAGTGGAGGTGGGACAAGCATCAGTTTGAGACCACTTCAAACAATCGTCCAGGGTCAACAATATCAAGCGCTTCAGCAAGAGCTTTTGTGAAACACAATGCTTT